TTTTATATATATATTAAAAAAACCAGGACTCAAAGTTAGGATAAGAAATGTTTAGTAAACCAATTTTCTGTAGCAGCATTACCAGAGATCTACATAGGTGGCAACAGCAAGGACACAGATTTTACATTGCTAAGACTGAGCCATAAGGTAGAACAACTTCATATACTATGTATTTGCATACAAAATAGGGGTGATGATCTGAAAGAAGAAAATGAACAGACAGTAAGTTTAACGCAAGTTAAACACATGTAATTACACACATGTGATTACAGTAACAAAGCTTAGATACTGACTTCTAGTCTGTTCAGATTATACTAAAACTAGTAGAAAAAGAATAGAGATAGTTTCCTAACCCTGGGCATAAAGCAGAGTTTACAGAATTCCTGAGGCAATGCTTACATCATCGCTATATTTTGACTTGTGAATCACCACTGCTTTGGAAGGAACAGTGGATTCTGGCTTCCGGATGTTGAATTCAGGCTTTGGTCGATTCTGTTGCTGAAGATTTTTCCACTCATCTAACGTCATTTCTTGAACTACTTCTTCCATTGGCTCTCCTTCAGCAACTCTAAAGGTTTATAGTTGTAAAGTAAAAACCATTAGCTTGCAACATGCCAGGATGAACAAGAACACTAATCTCTAAAGTAAGGATACTAAATAAAACATTTGGAATGTTTCTCACCAAATTACTATTCTCAATTTCCCTTACTCCCCGCAGTAACTTGATGTGCCAGTTTTATATTAATGGAAGTTGGAAAATATACTATCTGACATTAGTCGTATGAACAAATGCTGTCTCCAGCCTCCTGTATTAAGTTCTGGTATTTATCCAGTCTCATCTTAAGTTCAAGCACTTCGGATTCTAGACAAAACCAGTCTGTCTTTTGATCTGGGATATTCTCAACCCTACTGTTTAATAGTGAATCTGCTCCTAGCAAATATAGCCAGAGTAAAAAAAGCATAACAAGCAGTTTTAAAACACCCCAGTTGCATGGTTTTATTGACTCATACTGCAGGATGACAACACAGGATGGATTCATGTTTCAGTGCAGCTTTCAGTCATCAAAGAAATGATGATCACACCATGGGATCTTCCAGGTAGTTATTAACATTTGCTTTGTTATTTTCACAAGATGCTTCTTTGATTGCTTTTGTCAGACGTAGTAGCACACAATGAGACAGTATTTATCACCTGGCAAAACCAGATTAATCCTAGTCTAATTTTAATTTGTTGCAAAGTGCAATAACGATGGTATGTTCAAGGAGAACATATGGAGTACGTTGAAGTCTGCCTTGCATTGTTTTTGAACTGTAAAGACATAAGTCCAAGGTTTTATGTATTCATAAGACAAGATACTTAAGACAAAACTAAAGATTCTTCTCCACTCATCACTGCCTGACTAATCTTCTGACACTTTTCTGATGCTGCCCAAGACTGACTTGCCCAGGACCAGCAGCTATTAGAGTACCCTACAGGTGCACCTTTTAGTGATATTTGCAGAAAGCTATTCCCTTACTAAGCAGCATCACACACATGGAGCACAACTCACTTCATCACCCTAATTGTTTGCTACAGAAACAAGTCAAATACCATGAAATACAGGAAAACCTGCACTTATTACTCCCAGACACTTGAGAAACCATTCCTCCCTTCTCCCACACAAAACTCTTACGCATTGCAATAGCAGTCAAAGTTGGTTAAGTACTTCCCAAACACTGATTTTTCCAGAAAACCCTTTCATTAGGTCCCTTCTGGTGGGAGAAACTATGGATTTGTTTTTCCTCACTCAATCACAGTTCCAAGTCTTCTTCTACCAAATGCTTATGATTTTTCCAATGTAAATATACAATTGATTAGATGCAAGTTGGAAATTTATTTTATCATGGAAAGATGCAGAGTCAAATGACAGTCAGAGAACTCTGCATCTTGTTTTTGAAGTTGTATAAGCACTCCATCAGAACACACATATTTGTTGAGAGCATTCTGTACATTTAGAACTAGCCTATATAGAAACAGGCCTGCTCCCTCTTCCTACTTGATCTTGCAGAGAACCATTCTATTTCTTGCCAGTCAAAATTACACAGTATTTTTCCTGAAGCACCCAGCATACAACAGGTAGAAGCAGAACTGAACAGTAAGGCAGCCCTTAATTTTGGTTCTAGGATGAACACAGTTTTAAATGCACTTTGCAGAAAAGGTAAATAAAAATACGGTACATAAAAAATATGCAAGGCCTGTACTATATGCCTACCCTCTGACATGCCTTCATGCCTTGTTATTGCGAAAATTCCATCAATCAGAAGTTAAAGGTTAAAAAACTGATAGCTGTTTGTAGTTCCATACTGATTAAGATGATCTAAAACACTATTAGAAGGTCTGTTAAAAAAAAAAATGGTTTACCGAGTTAGATAAAAAGGATACTGGTGAAAGATGCAGCTACTTCTGGAAAAACACTAACAGGTACTGTTCCATGTATAAGAGCATTAAGAACCAACTGCATGCCAAACATTTCAGTTTGTTATCCTCAAGAGTAAGAAACCAGATAATTTTTGATCAACTATCTGAAGCTTCCATTTTGGGAACAGGTGTTGGAAAAATAAGACTAGTTGCAAGCACCCAGAGGAAGAAAAACAAAAGAAAAAGTAAACTAATAAAAAGGGGCTCTATTAAATTGGTTTAATTTCTTCCTAAGCTACTACCTCAGGACAGAATCAGTAAATTGTGTATCTGAACTTCAGGAAGTCTTTTGTCCTCCTCTCCCATTAAGTTTTCACCACTTCAGGGAGACACTGTTTCAGTCCTTGGCGAGAGCTGTAGAAAGCTACAGAACTGGTGGCAACAAGTACTTGAGAAGTAACTATCAGTCTTTCAATTTGCAAAAGAAAAACAAGCATTTGAGTGCAGCTTTAAGGCCAGCTCTGTGCAGTTATCCACAGTGTAATGTATAATACATTAACTGCATTTTCTATAGCACAAAGCTTGCAAAACAAAAGGGCAATAGTGCAACTGTTCGAGAATACTGAAGGACTGACCAGTGGTATGAGATGCTAAAGAGACCAAGTGATTTGAAAGCAAACAACCAAAACAACCACCACCAGGAAGTCCAAAGGACAAGCAGAAATACGTACTCTCAGGCAAAAGGATCAGCCACCCAAACACAGAAAGAACCACTAGCAAGGCAGAAGCTCTAAGGGAGGAATCCCAAACTGTGCAAGAGTATTGCACGTAACCCAGTCAAGCTGAACTTTAAATCAACATCACTTGTTCCTTCAGCAACAATGTACTATTATAAGGAGACAAATCAACAGTTTTGTTTGGAACAGATGTCACTGCTGGTAGGATGGAACAAGGTCTCAACTGAGTAATGTCGTCTATGTGGGAGCAGGTAGAAAGTCCAGAATAGAATTGCAAGACAGATAGGAGTTCTCAAATACATGAGCTACATGGGAAGCCTTTAAAGAGATGCTGAGGAGGAAACATACTAACACTAAAAAAGAAAGAAAATTTTGCATATCCATGATGTTAAGTCAAGACACTCAGGAGAAAAAGAACCACATGCAATAGTTTCTATTTTCAAAGTATTGGAAAGACCATCAAGGGACATTGAAATCTCTATCAGCAGAGGGCATTAAAATCACCTAGACAGGTTATGAGAAGCAGCACAGGTATGGTTGGTCATGTCTTGGGTCAGCAAGGCTCCTTTCAGATCTAAATTTCTATGATTATAAGACAACATGAGGACATTTCACGACATGGTGACTTGACCTCTCAAAAAAGCAATCACAGGTATTACTTTGAAAAGTACACATCTATCAAAAGCAACCACTTGCTTGTTCTAAAGGAAATACTTGTGGATTTACACTGCAAATGTTTCTTTTTCAATGGCAAAGTACAGTTTGATTTTTACCATGAAGGACTGTTTCAACTGCTAGGTTATTAGCAGTAGAAATCTGTTCTAGCATGCCAAGACTCCCAAGGGGAAACACCTCCCATTAGTGAAGCACAGCAACAGGAACCTGCATATCACATTTTGGACAGAGACTCAATGGTAGCAGGCTATTTTGGGCACTAAGCCTGCATGGAAGTGCACTCTGTACATTACTTTCTACCTTCTAACCTTACCACTTTTAGTAACTGCTTGGTGTGCGTTTTCATTAATCAAGTTAATAAACATCTTGGCACACCAACAATCATACTTACAAAATACCACCAGACACCTAAGCATGGCCTCTGGATATGAACAAACTGAATTCACAATGCAAGTATATACCAAAACACCAAAGTTTTCAGTAATGGGAGCCTTCAGTAAAGGTTCCTACTGCTTCAGTGTTTTCAGTGGAAGACCATAACCCTCTAGCTATGCCTTGGTTACTGTGCATACCTTTCTTGCAGGAACTGCTCTATGTGAACATGTTAATACGCAGAAGAAATGCCAATGGAAAAGAATGGCATTCAGCTCAGTTGTTCGGCTGATTATTTTCATATCATTAAATATAATGATAGTGGGTCTTTTTCAGATGAGTTTTTGTATTATTCAGCTGCACAAACCAAATTTTTATTTAGCTTTTATAAAGAAATCAATGACATGAATCTTTCCTATTAAACATAATTTACAGGAGCATTACCACCAGTTATAGCAAAATTCAAAGTTAAACAAGGTAAGACCCAGTGACAACTGTACAAGTTAACGACAGAAGAAAAACACTGAACCAATTAGGAAGATCTGGTCTGTGGATAGCTTTATGTCACTAATAAAAAAAAAAAACCCACAACAAAAAAACAACCAAACAAAAAAAACCAAGAGGGGTAAATAGCTCAGCAACCTTGAAGACAAATTTTGAAAACTTCCTATTAAATGATCAGAAGGATAGATAGCTCCACCAAAAAGGAAGAAAGTCCTGTGTGAAGAAATGGAAGAAAACCCCACAGAATAAATAGTGACTACTCAAACACCTTTGATAGGAATTGATTAGACTATGTGTTGTACTGAATAAAAAGAAAAATCTATTCATTTGAATTGCCAGTCAACACATTGTTACATTGTTCAGACTGTGAAGACAAGTTCAACAGAAGGCAGCTGTGAGGAAAGCTTACACTGCTGTACTACTTATATATTTTATACTTACTACTTGCAGCAAAAAAACCCACAACTATTAGCATGCAGTTTGGGATGCTATTAACAGAGATAGATATTGTTAATACACATAAGGAAATTTGAAGATAACAAAAGAAATAACTTGATTTAAATTATAGAAGTATTAAAGAAACTCTTGTTCTGCAATAGTTTGCAAATGGAAGCTCAAGAGCAGCAATACAGATAGAGTCCTGAAAGCAAGACTCCGTAAGTTACAGAAGCCCATAGAAGTCTTTCCACAGTTGCATTGAAATTAGCCAGTACCACACCAGAAAGCTATACAGTATCTCCACACAGACAGAGTGCTCCCAACTTCCGGGAATACCTTTTTTTTTTTTTTTTCCTTTTAAATGGGAACAGTTACAACTGGAAAGAGAATGAGAAAAGAAACAAACCCATGTTTTCCATCTCTTCCTCAATACAAACTCCCAGCTGCAATAAAGCAGGAGAAAAGAAATTGATTTCTTGGAGTTGCTGCATTTAAGAGTCAAAATGAGAACAATCCTAGCCGTAGCTTAAGTGAACACACACTCCTACACCCTCAATATTGAGGCTGTAGCAAAAGGAGAAAGTAGCCTAGCTAGAATCTTTTGCTGGTGTACGCTACTTGCCAGAAGACAGCAACTCTCAGAGCAGGAACAACCTAGAGCATACAAGACCTTAAAATATATGCTGAAGCCTGAAAGCCATACCCCACCAGCTTTTGCTTTGAAATATTAAAACAAAAATAATTCCACCTTGTTAAGGTGTATGCTATATAACCATCCCTAATTACCTAGGCACTATTTGCATGATGTCTCCCCTTCTATTTTAAAATACATACAGTCACCAAGCTGACACTACCCTGAAATGTAAGTGCAATGAGGTATATGTAATTCATATTTTGCATACAGATTTGTGAGTCTTCAGGACAATATATTTACTGCACTGAAAAAGTGTACACGATGCAAAATTTTGTACTTGTATGTTACTTGCATTTTTTCATCTTACGGATTTCAGTGGACTATTCCTAAACAAAGCTTCTTTTAAAAACATGAAGAGGAGTAAAATCTCAAGAAAGGCACACAGTCTGACCAAATACCTAATGATCTCTGAGAAAGGGAAAAGAATTAAAGACAACTAGCAGATTCTGTCAAATGCCTTTGCCGCTACATATACTTCTCATACCTTACGCTCTACAAGGAACTGATGTCAGGACACATCTACAAAGAGCTTGAATTGGACTAGAAACAAATACAAGGCTGAAACAAGTAAAGGTACCAGTAGTGGACAAAAAAGGCTGAATAACTGTTCTCGTATTTAGCTAATACAGTGCATATTTGACAGTTTATCTGCACTACCCACCGGATTTAAGTTAGTCTAGAAGCAGTTTTCTGGAAATCCAATCATAGTCATTCAATTTCAGAGACAGGTTTCCTTACATATACACACCTCTATTTCAGAGACAGATTTCCTCACGTATACACACCTCTAGCTATATATTAAAACCTAGTTTAAAATTAAAGAATCAAAGCTGTATCAACTCAACTTCTTACAGGGTTATACAATGTGAACATATAAAACAGGTTTTGTAGTCTAGTCAACTTTATAAATGAACCAAGGCCACTAATGACTGGAGCTGCATCATTAAGTAAAAAAAGGCTTCATAGCAAGCTAATTTCTCTTCACAGCAGAAGAGAAGGCTGACATGAGGAGATATTCACCATACGCTACTTGATTATTCTTCGAAGTCTCTTCCTTGGACAAGATTATCCAGTTACTTTTTCTTAAGCCAGTGTTTATTTGCTGTGAAGTAAATTCTCACTGAACACTGATAAGAATGAAAGCCAGAAGACAAGGGGCAGATTTCTCTCTCAATTCCCTACTTCTAAGGCTCACCGCAAGACCATTTCCAGCAACTTTTTCAAGTTCTAGAGGCCCTTCATGAATAGATGACAACTGCATGGCGTTAGTGATTTATGAATACTGACTTAGAGAATTTTACCTTAGTGTGTTTTAATTGTGTTTGTATGACTGCATAGGCACCTTGAATACCTTTTTTTCATAGAGAACTCCAAAAAGCAGGGTAGTTTTTACAAACTAAATTATTTTTTACAAATTGAAAAGGTAACAGACACTACATAGCTCCTCCTTAAATTATCACCAAATCTTAGGAACATAAGCATCACTGGGCAATTAAATGCAATCTGCAGCTGTATAAACCAAGCTTTAGTCAGAATTAGAGATGCATTTTCTTGACTCACAAATATAGACAAAGCTTTTCTATTTTTAAATATGTGCACTAGCAAAACTTCATAGTTCACATTTCAAGTGTGCCTCCCAATACAAGTATATCAGTAACAGTCAATTGTTTTCTTTGCATTTAGAAAGAAAATGGTTTAGTCAGACTATACTTGTTCAGAGGCTCTCCTTCAGATGCCCCTGGCTGCTCAGCTGTTTCTGCAGTCTCTTCCATAGGAGCAGTCTGTTCCATCCCACTAAAACAGTAAAAACAAAAAAAACAAAAAAACAAAACACACAAAAACACAAAGTCTTGATGGGTCACATTGGAAAAAAAGCCTTGCAAATCAACACATCGCTTTTTTACAGAATTCCTTGGAAGGGAAAAAAATAGAGGAGAACAATTCTAGGATCATAAACAGAAAGTAGATCTACTAAGCTACTAGTTGAGTGACTAACAAAATGAGAAGTATTAGGAAAATCCAACTTCTATGTACCTTTAATCAAAAAAAGTGAAAATCATGCATGAAGACAAAATAATTCAGTCTTGAATACTAATACCAGTACTTTGATTACAGTATATCACTGATGTTTGGTTTACATTTTTGTTTCTTTTCAACTATTAAAATGGTAATATTCATACTCCACATTCGTATTTTCTGTAACATGGACATAGTTCACTGTCAAATGAGAGCAACAGCAGACTTACTTTCATTCCACTGGTAGGCATACATATTTAAAATTAACACCTTCTAGCTACGAGGCACCACTAAGCACAGTTAGGCACAGACATGCTTTTACAATTGTTTAGACAACGCCTATTTATTGTCACTTCTACCACATCCATCACATCACAAGAAAGCATTGATACCTTATGTTTATATCGTAAGTTCTGATGCTACTGAACTAAAAAAACTGAACTAGGGAGAATAAATATAAGGGATCTTGAATTTCTTGTACTTTATGAAGTTCCTGACATCATATAGAGCTAGTTTTGTGCTGTCAGCTCAGAACTATGTTAATCTAGATGATCCTTCATTTTGAAAAGCCGGAGTACCTAACCAATCTTTTACTTTTTGTATGAAATATTATAGATGAAATGGAAGTTAGTACAACCTTTCAGAAGAATTTGGAATGTTAAGCCCCAAAATTATTACCCATCAAGGCTTTATTTTTCAACCTTTTGGCCAGACTGCCTGAATCCACTAAGTTGTAAAATTTTATTTTAAAAACAATTTTGTGAATGAATGTGTATGTGCCCAAAGATGTTTGCTGTAAGTTCAATGCACTGCCTTTTCTCTGTCCTTTATCAGCCTTCAGTTAAAGAGTTCTAGATGTATACGAGAAAAGCTACTGGAAAGAATAGCATATTGCTAGGTGCAAAGAACAGACAAAAGCCGACATTTCCAGTGAGCTTTTTGCAAATCTGAACAGAAACCAGTAAGAGAAATATAGAATTGAAAATTCCCAATTTTTTTAATCTAACCGACCATTAATAAGCCATCACATTCTGTTGCTGATCTTCCTGTGCACTTTAAAATATGTTTCAGCGGTAGAGTCAGCTAAATATTACCTCCAGAGCCACACTGAACTGTACTACAGCTTTGCAATTTAGAAATGACACACAAAACTTGAGAAAAAGAGACCGGACTTTAAGCCCACTAACAGAATGTCAATCTTTTAATCAGCGTTTTGTAGCAATGCCATTAAATACCAGAGTCCCACTTACCTGACTACTGAGAAAAGCTGTAACTTATTTCAGTTAAAAGACAGCTTGGCCCCAGTCAAAACATTTTGGCAGTCTTAATTGAAGAAACATCACCATGACTTTGCTACAATTTAATCTCACCAACATGAAGAAGATGAGCTCAGAAAATTGTAAAACTACATTCATCACAACAATTAATAGAAAGCGAGGCTTATAGAACTCAAAATGGACATGAAATTGATGAACACAAAATGATGAGCTAAGGTGGGCCATGGAAAATGATGATCTATGGTGGGCACAAGTACATGTTGTACCTCATGTCATCTTTAACGGTTCCCCAGTTGCGAGCTCCACCTCCTCCTTTTTTGTCATCCGCCTTCAATGCTCTAGAGAGAAAGAAACAGGGTTCTGTGAGTTTAAGAGCTTTTTTTTTCCATCAGGACCTCAAACTAAAACCAGTATTGACTTTTTGCCAGCCAACTTGGATATAGAAGGGAACAGAATACTTAGGAGACACTACTGCAGTGCTGACTATTGTTTACTTGTACACCAAGTAAGAAGCAGCACACAGAACACTTACATTTTATCACTCCCACTTTGTCTTTCAAATTCCCGTTTTCCTCTTTGGTCAAAGCCATCAAAACTTCTATTTATTCCACCACCTCTTCCTCTACCTCGCATTCCACCTCTGCCTCCGCCACGACCTCTTAATGGCCTTTCACGGTCTAATCTTTCAATTGGTCTAGAAAGAAGATTTCTAGTTAGATTTTTGTTCCTACAGAACAGTTAACAAGGCAAAAAAAATTCATATGGTTGTATTTGTGCAGCTGTGAGACATCAGTATATGAGAGCTACTGTACAATTTTTAGAGTGCATCTTTACACAGCACAGTTGTATTAGTTTTGACATTAAAAATGGACATGAACTGAACTTCAGGGGGAATTATTACAGATAACAGGAATAGAAAGTTCAGCTGTTTATTGATAACACTGAAAACATTAGAGAAGATAAATAAAACACTATAAAACTGTCAAATCTTCAGGAAGTTTAGCAGGCAACAGCTTTACTGTCTAAACCCGGATTTATATGCAACTGCTAAAAATTTCAGGAAACTTGTTAAATACCGACTATTGTGATGTAGGAACAGCCATGCTCTTCAAGCATTAAAGGCTTAGGTGGAATTTTCAGGTACTTACAAAGAAGGCAAAATTGATATGCTTTCACTGTCCAAGCAGTAAGTAGTATGATAAAGGTTTAATTTCAGTTTGAACAGTAAAATTCATTAAACTTGGAGCTTGCACCACATGTTCTGCAACGCTTGGTACGCGAGCTCAGAAATGAACATTTATGTTGCAGACTAGGGGTTATGTTTTCACATCTTTACACTTTTCACTTTCACCGTATATTTCTAACATTTAACAAAATAACTCCAAATCAGTCTGCGAGGAAGCTGAAATTACAGCTCTGATGGGCATGAACTAAGTCGTCTTTCAACAAATCTACGTGCTAATAATGCAACCTTATGCCTTCAAGTCACATCTGGCTGCTAGATATGTTTTAAGAAGGTTAAGTCTTTCCCTTCCCACCCCTGCGCAGATCCTCCATGAGGCACCTTACTTGTCCCTGTGTGATACCTACCTTTCCACTGTGAATTCCACTTGTCTTTCTGTTTCATAGGAACGGTATTCCCGGAAAGACGGTCTCCATTCAGTTTTGTCTTGTTTCACCTCTGCTCCTCTGTTATTGAATCCTTGCTGTTCTCCCCGCTTAGGTGCTCGCTTCTGGCCTACATACACACATACAGATTACTAACAGTTTAATAATAACTGAAGTTACCAAACTACTGACTGAAATGAGTTGATTACACCTTGCAGTCTTCTGCTTTACCCTCTCCAATCCTAATTCCACCAAAATATTAAAAGCAGCTACAGTTAATGTTGCCAGACACTGTTTTAAAGACATCTACTTCCTTACCCTTCTGTATTGATGAACCTGCCTCAGGCAAAAATACTACGGGTGTTGACACAGCTCAGATATTTCCAGAAAAGACAGGCTAAAGAAAAATCTCGTTTTGCTCACAGTAAGTCACAGAAACAAATAACAAAAACCGTTTCTCTCATGTTCTCTCAAAGATCTTGCTAGTGTACTGCAGGACAAGGCATAGAAGTTTTAATGGAAGACATGAATTGCAAGATGGCTGCAGTAGCAATGAAGGGGGAGGAAAGAGGAGGACCATTAGTTGTTGATCATGAGGCAACACACCTCCTGCCAGATGAGCTGAATTTAGAAGTCTAAGCCTGCACCTGCACTTTAAGCTCATGGCTATGGCATCCAACAAGCAGAAAGAGGGTCACCTATTACTCTTCTATGGAGGAGAGGACCATTCGCCAACACTACAAGTCACTGAGTTTAAGTAGCAGAAACCCAAGCAGGAAGTATAAAGGCTCCAGCACCACTAACTGATTCTAGAATGTCAACATATTCCAAGATAAAATGTATTTAAGCTTTTTAGGGTTTTGTTTGGCCATTGTCAGGGTTAAGGAGAAGGAGGATAGGCAGGATGAATGCAGAGAAATTGTGTGTTATAAGAGAGAATAAACTGAGGTTATCCCCTCAACCTATATAGCTTATCTAGCATAAGATTAAAGTTCATTATGTGCTTCCTTCCCCATTTTTCCAAATTCTGTGCTCTATTTAGGATAAGGTTCTCCAGAAGCAAGCAAGCCTTTTGTCTGATAGGCCCTTATACTTACACTATTGGCTGAAGAAGCTGTTGGTTTGAGTCAATCAAGCAAGGAACTACAGAAAAACTGCTCTCAGACCAACAAAACCGAGCTATTCTTTCCACAAGAAGCACCTGTGCAATACTGAGCAAGTTACTAACTCAGGTTAGTGGACAAGTGACAGTCCTGGCTCTGTGCCTCTGTTGCTAGCACATGAAGAGAAAAAAGCCTATTCTGTCACAATATGAAGATACAAATTAATTCATAGCTCCATAGAAATGCCTGTATAAGAAGATCTCTGATCAAAGCTTAGGTGGCAAGCATGAAGTCTGTAACATCATCTTTAAAAAGAAAACGTCAAAGAACTAGCCACTTGCTGAATAAGGTAGAAGAGTGGTAAAGAAAGCTTTTTTTTTTTAAAAAAAAAATAAGGACAGTCATATCTGCACACAGAAGACAGTTTTATTTGTGCTACAGAAGCAATCCTAGCTTTGGTTTTCTTTAAACTACAAACTACTTCACATAATATATTCCAGTAATTCTCTCTTCTCAAGATTTGGAGTTGCTTGATCCTTATAGCAGCAAGCATATTTGCATCCCAAAAATTACCATGTAATCTCTGGATAAAGAACAACTTTTGAAATCAGTTTCTGAGTAAGCTTTTCAAACCAGGATGCTTTAATAAAAAACAAAACTATAAACAATACAGAATTGCACATGCTGTTGTGAAACGTCTGCTCTATGCACATCTCAACTACACCAGTGTTCCAAGTTGGAATCTTGCTGTGGAAAGAG